CTTTCTGCTTCTGTATTCAGCAATGACAAAAAAGAGAACAAATGTTTATTAGCCTAGACATTTTATTGGAAGACAAAAGTGTATTAAGACGCCTCAGAACAAACTACTCAAAAACCCTCTATATTGACTATGAAATGAAAATTTCACAAGCAGAAATGAGCCATATTTTACTGACTTCAGCTCCAGATTCATCCTCAGACTCCTCTTCTGATTCTTCTTCAGATCTCTCCTCTTCTTCCAGCTCAGCTTCAACCTGTTAATATACAGCAAAATAGATAAAACATAACTGAAAGGAAAAGCAAAAGCAATCTTATGGAAATCGGAAGTATACTTGAAGCATCTACGATTCAATATAACTGGCTGTGTCCGCCAGTTGAAAAAATAGGGAAAAAGAAAGAAAAGAAACATTAATATAGTAAAGTAATTTTCAAATGCCCTTTTCTATTGGTGCTATCAGCGGCCGGCATGAGACCCACTCCCTCACCAATATCAATCAAACACATAGATATTTACTTCTTAAGTTTCAAAAGGTGCAGAACAGCTATGGGATCACAGGGGTCAAATTTCCAATGCACATCTTCACTTGTCTAATCATTAGAACCAGCAATATATTTTCACATCACCATATTGCACAAAATTATTGAATCACTCACTTTCACCATTCAGAAACTTATACCACGAAAAAAAAATACCATAAGCTTCTGAAACAATAGCACATCCATGGAAATATCATAGGGGCAAAATTGAAGAAAAAAATTACCTTCTTAAATGTACGAGGACGAGAAGCAGAGGTACCCGCCACTGAATCAGAAAAGGGAAAGTTTTGAGTCAAGGAAAAAACAAAAAAGCATTACTTCCAAACTAGACAGTAAAATTAAAAAAACCTCCCCCTCCATCTCTCTTTCACCCACTGCTGCTTCGAAGCAAGTGAAATCATTAACTTCATAATTTTTTTCTTTCTAAACACATAGTAATGAAGTATGATTAAAGCAAATATTTGCAACATTCTACTTTTGGAAGTAACACATTTCGCATGCATACAAAAAGATATTAACAAAAAATCAATCAGAAACTGATTATAAATCTCGATACATCAGAAATTCAAGGAAAAGAAGTATTATATTCAAGAATGTACTTACTTACGTAGGATGGTCGAAAGAATATGCCTTAGCAACATATGAGAATCCAAGTTTGAGCAAAATTGCCATTTTAATTAACAAATGGTTAATCCAAGCTAATTCTCAACAATAGTTAATTATGGTTAGCATTTAATAGTCCAAAGGAAAAATTATAAATGAATTCAATTATCGTGTGATGATGTATATAATTGCAGTAACTAAGAGCTAGAGAGCATTGTGGGTCAAAGTTAATTATCCATGATAATGTATGGAATAACGAAAAAACAGAAACATTTTAGATGGCTTTTGGTAGGGGGTCAAAAATGCAATGGAGAATTTGCAGAATTTTAGAAAAACATAATGCTTTGCTTGTAAAACAGTGATTCTATCTCCACATATTGGAAAAAAAAAAACTTATTTTAAATGAACATATTTTCCTAGTATTGTGTGTTTTCAAAAATAAATAGAAAATAAAATTTCTTTCACTAAATAATTCAAAGTTAATTACCTCTCTCACATTTATTTTCACCGTGCTAAAATGGAAATGTTCCAAGTTTCCTTGGAAACCTATCAGACTTTGAACCAAGTTTTGTAATTGAAAAAAAAAAAGTTCAATTCATATCAAAAGGGTGACTTTTTCAATCCAAATTCTAATGTGTGGATCTCACGCTAAGACCAGAAGTAATAAAAACATTTTCAAATAATCAAAAACAAATACACAACAGCACAGGAAACAAAAGACAAAAACCCTAACAAAAATTCAATACTGAAGCGCCAAAAACCCTAACAAAATCGACAATATAAAATCCCAAGTTTCCACAAAGATCCCAATCCCCACCCCAACACAGATCCTAATCCAATTTAATCTCGAAACAAACAAGAAAACTTCAAAAACAAACAGCGACACAAATACATACACGGATACATGCCAACTATTATAGGCAAAAAATAGGAAAGGATGGGAACAGCAAAACATACTCATCTGTTCTGGAGTAGAGAACTGGCGACGACCAGTGGGCTTGCCCTTGAACTTTCCTCTTCCCATTTCAGTGCGTGTGTGTGAGGAAATTGGCCGATTTCAAAAAAGAAGCAGATTCTAATATATTATTTTGGGCTTCTTTCTTGAATAAGATTATCCTTTTTCTGAGAAAATGGGAAACCCTAATTGGAGAAGGAAATTGGAGAAATAAAGCCACTAGTTAGTGCTAAGGTCGAGCGTGTGAGACAGTACTCAAATAAAAGGCATAGACTTCGCCAACTTTTTCAAAAGTTCTCTTTTGGTCCAATAAAGCAATTCCCAAAAATTATTCATACGCGTCCAAAGAAGTCATTTTCTACTTTTCAAAAGATTCAAAAGACATGCCTAGTCACTTCGATATGACTTTTTCTTTTATTTTTGCTTTCGAAACAACTTTATTATATTCTATAAGTGCTTCTAGAAAAAGTTGTATTGAACTATCGTACTTTAAAAACTCTTCTAACTAAAAAAAAATAATTTTATAAAATTATCCAAATGACACATATATCCTCTTGTCCTTAATATAATCTTATCTCGTTCATAGTTTCTTAGTCTTGAGAGAAATGGCGGGCCACATGATTTGATAGGAAAATGAATTCTACTCCAAACAATGGCGACAAGATAAGGGCAATACTTAAGCCT